TGATTGCTCATTTGGAAATTTCCATTTGCTGTTTGTTTCTATTCCTGTTTGCTATTGGGTAATTCCTTGCAACACAGGCCTGTTGGCCATGGGGTCTTTTAACAGCTGCCCTCCAATTATGATTCAGCAGGAGCAAGTGTTATGGTCCTCATTAGCTTAGGGCTCATTTCTATAACAAATATTTATTGGATGTTGTTGGGGCACAGGGGAAAATTCCTCCATCCCTCTAGGTTCTTCTCAGGCTGGACAAGCAAAAAAATTAACATCAGACATATTAGTAGAAGATGATCAAATTTAACAACATTCATACGGAGAATTTACATGGCTGTAAATTCTGAAGTAAGTAGAACTAACGGGGTTTATATGCTATGCTAAGGAATGGGACAGAGTCCTGGGATAAAAGCACATGATAAGAAAGGAATTCTTACCCATATGTAAAAGGGGAATTGATATCAAGAAACTCAGGTAAAATTCCAGTTCAAACTGGTTTGTGCCCAGCCAGCATGAGTGAATGAACAAAAGTCAACAACCTGGAGTAAACTTAGACTCATTAACATCCATTAGCACATTAAACATCCCACTCCAGAGGCTGTAACATTACCATTTTCTCATAATGTATGTAGAAGTATAATCCCTTCATATAACTGATCTGCACTTGCCCCTCAACAGTGCCCCAGAATAACACCAAGTTGCCCTCTATGTGTTATGTTCTGCTGTATGTTATGGTCTATCTTCCCATAGAAGATAGACCTTTTAGCACTAGCTCCCTACCTCCTTACTTGAATTAAGTGACAAACTCTACTATAGTCAATCAGCTTCTCTGATATATTGGTGGATTCATATCAAGCAACAAACCCCCTGAGTTTGGTAACAAGATAACAAAATACAATACCTTGCCTCTTTAGGTTTGCCTGCTCGAAGATAGGTTTATCCATTATTTTGGGGGGATGCCTCTAAATCTAGGGAATCTTCAATCTTTAAGGTTATGGCAATAGTTTTTCCCAAGACCCAGAAAGGGCTTGATTGACCTTAGCTTTACATGCCAGTGTGACATGTATTGGAAAAGTCTGTCTAAACTTTTTGTGAAGACCAATCCTGTAATATCTAATAACATAGATAGATAGATAGACAGATAGATAGATGAGGTTTATTATAGAAATTGCTTCACATAATTATGGAAGCTGAAAAGTGGCACAACTTGCTGCCTGCAAGTTGGAAAACCAGGAAAATTTGTGGTGTAAAATCCAACCTCAGTCTTCTGAAGGCCTGAGAATCGGGTCATGAGCCAGTAGTGTATGTCGTGATCTGAGTCAGAAGGCTGGAGAACCAGGAGTGTCAGTGTCCAAGGGCAGCTGAAGATGGATGTCTTAGCTCAAGCAGAGAGAGCAAATCTGCCCTTCTTTCTGCCCTTTTGTTCTTTTCAGGCACTTATGACTCTTTGTAAGGGTTGGTATTTCATAGCAATTATTCTTTTCTAGAGATTTTCTAAAAGACAAAACTTCTAATAATTTATTTGTTTAGTCTTTAAATTGTGGTAACTTTATTTATTTTTTTAAAATATTTATTTATTTATACAAGCACTGGGTACAGTCAGAAGTGCGGGAGGGTGAGAGAATTCATCAGAGCCAGAGTGGGGAGCAGAACAGGTAGACTGCCGAAATACACTGCTGAGGGGAGCAGCGGGTGGCAGGAGAGGTCTGCACGCCATGTGGGACCCTCACCCGGCGGCCGGGGATCCAACTGGCGATGCAGAGGCTGCGGGCAGCTTCGCAACCCAGCGCTCAACCGCTGTGCCACCGGGGAGGCTCAATTGTGGTAACTTTAATATCCATTAGGGTATTGCCACACTAGAACTCCTTTCACCAAATCATCCATAGTCCACCACCTCATCTGATGTGCTTTCTTCCTTCATGTTCTTAATCCTTCTCTGTCCCATCCCACCTCTGATGTTTCAATTTTGTTGTCAGATTTCAAGGGTTAGTTTTTAAGTTTGTAGTTTTTAAGTTTGTCTTTATCTAATTCTTATGTTGGTTTCTCTATATTTCAGATATCCATAACACTATCTAGTGTTTATCTTTCTCATTTTGACTTATTTCAACTTGCATTCAACATTTCAACTCCATCCCTGTTGCTGCAAATGACACAAGTTTATCTTTTTTGATTGTATATATACCACATCTTGATCTACTCTTCTGTTTTGTGCACTTAGGTTGTATCTATTATCTTGGCTATTGTAAATAGTGCTGTTGTGAAAAAAGGAATATAGGTTTCCTTTCAAATTAGTGTTTTTGTATTTTGGGGGGTAGATACCTAAAAGTGTAATTGCTGAATGGTATGGAAGATCAATTTTCATAAAAGAAGTTACTCTCTTTGAGCTACTGGGAAATAATTTTGTGTGCTCAGCTTGCATGCTTGTATCCTCTTCTCCACTTAGAGGTTGAAACCTAATTCCCAGTGTGATAGTAGTTAAAGATGAAGCCTTTGGTAGGAGATTAGGTCATAACTCATGAATGGTTAAGTACCTTTTCATGAAAAGAGAATCCGGAGCAATCAATAACCCTCTATGATGTTAGCTTTTGCATTGGAAGGGGGGAATACTATATGTAAACCAACATATCTCAATAACAAATTAAAATAAAATTTTTAAAAAGATACACAAAATATTTAAAAACAAATAAGCAGGGCCTCCCTGGTGGTGCAAGGGGTTAAGCACCACACTATGAAGCAATCCGCAGCCTCTGCAGCATGAATTCGATTCCTGGCCGGCCAGAGAGAAACCCACATGGTGCAACAGACCTCTCCTAACTTGCCTGCTGCTCCCCCTCAAGCAGTGTATTTCTATGGGTCTGCCTGTTCTGTTCCTTGCTCTGTCTCTGGTGAATCCTCTCACCACCTGCATTTCTGGCCTTTACCCTGGCTCTTGCATGCATAAATAAATAAATCCTTAAAAAAAAAAAGCAAACAAAAAAATGGCAAAATGCAGGCTCTCCGCAGACACTGCATCTGTGTGTGTGTGTGTGTGTGTTTTCCTATATATCCTTAGCCTTGGTCTTCCCAGCTTGCAGAATCATGAGAAATAATTTTTGTTGTTGACAAGCCACCCAGTTTATAGTATTTTATTATAATAGGACAAATGAAAAAAAATGTGATCCATTTTTTTATATGGAAAGAGAAATAGGTATATGGGATAGGAAGAATAATGTCCACCTCCCCCAAATGCACACCTTAGTACCTGTATATATCTGAATTTACGTGGCTAAAGGGACTTTTCAGATATGATTAAATTTGTGTATATTGAGATGGGGGAATTACATTGGATTACCATTTGTGTTCAGTGTGTTCACAACACAATGTTGAAAGGGAGAGGCGACTAGAGAAAGTTCACAGAGACGTGACATTACTGGGTTTGAAAAATGAAGGAAAGAAATCAAAGCCTGCACTTACGGTTGGACTATAGACAATAGAAAAGACAAAGTAGATTCTCCCCTAACCCCCCTGAAAGAATGCAGTACCTCCAAAACATCGATTTTAACCAAGTGGTGCATTGTTTTAAGCCATTATATTTGTTGTAATATATTATGAAGCAATTAAACACAAACGCAGTAGAAGAAGGTGATTTTCCCAAATCACATAACTACATGTTCTGGAGTCTCATAAACCTTAGATTTTATTGACATGGGAAGAGAGAGTATACATCCAGGGCAAAATAAGTAGAAGAAAACAATTAGCACGATATTCTCATCCCTTAACATAATAACCCACCACGGCTTTATGTCTGATTTAATGATGCCTTAAACAGAAGTTAGTTCTAAGCCGCATACATATGGACCATTAATTGTCTTATACAAATCCGCATGTTTTTCAGATAGTTTCCCCAAATCCATCTGTCCTTTTAAAAATCCTTCTAAAGCGAGCCTTTTGGTGAAATCTTTGTGAAACACATCAGGAAACAAATGAACAGCATTTTATGTTTGTGTCTATTTTTATAAATGGACATTGTTCATATAATAATTCATCGTAATGTTAACCTTAGACCACAAGATTCATTGTTTCTTTATATCAAGGCTATTCTTCCAAATTTACATTATTTTGTTTTTTCCAATTATTTAAAGTTTGAAGAGAACCAACATTGAGTTTCTTTTTTTTAAATGCTAGACAATAAGTCTTTATTCTGGAAGTTTCCATTTACATATATCATTTAAAAATGTTCATTGTTACACAAAAACTGGGTGATAAATTATATTTAGAGCAGTATAAATTTAAAATTGTAAGTGCTTATGATTTAATTCAATGGAACGGTAACCTTTCATAATTAGTAAGCACTTTTAAAGAAAAATATTAGAAGGAAAGCTGCTGATGGTCAGATTACATGCAAAGGGGATTCATTGTATTAAGGCAAGGAGGGAAGAAGATTTCCTTTACGTCATATCTAAATCTTTAAAAATCATCATATCAATTAGCAATTCTTTTTCCTGTCCTGCTGTAACTAATGGATCTAATTTTCAGAATATGTCATGATACATTTAATTCATGTTTTGGCATATAAAAACAATTTTACCTCAAATTACTTCCCATTTTTTAAAGTATTTATTCAAATAACTTTGCTTTATAACATTACATAGGCTTTATGTATACAACATTATATTTTTATTCATTTTTTTAAAGATTTATTTATTTATACAAGAACTGGGGTACATGCCAGAAGTGTGGGAGGGTGAGAGAATTCACCAGAGACAGAGTGAGGAGCAGAACAGGCAGATGGACCAAAAACACTGCTGAGGGGAGCTATGGGCAAGACAGGAGAGGTCTGCTCCGCCATGTGGGTATCTCCCTGGCAGGCTGGGATCGAATCCACGCTGCAGAGGCTACAGACAGCTTCACAGTGCTGCGCTCAACCTGCTGGGCCACTGGGGAGGCCCGGACAACATTATATTATGACATCCATGTATACTGCATTGTGATCACCACCAAATGTCTAGTTTCCATTCACCATCAATAGATCACCTTTGCCTAATTTACTCACTCCTGTTTCTCCTTCTTCTATGGTAACAAACACTTTGTTCTCATAATCTAAAAGTTTCATGTTGTTTTGTATTAAACATATTTTTTTTTTTTAACTTTTGTAACATTTTTTTAAAGCCGAGGCAACATTGATCTCTAATAGTCAAGTCATGGAAACAGCCTAAGTTCCCAAAAACAGATGGGTGGATAAAGAAGTTGTGGTATGTATACACAATGGAAGACTACTCATTTATTAAGAGAGAAAAAGAGAGAGAGAGAGAGAGAGAGAGAGAGAGAGAGAGAGAGAGATGAAATCTTACCATTTGCAATAACATGGATGAATCTGGAGGGGATTATACTAAGTGAAATAAATCATCAACAAAAAGATGAATACCAGATGATTTCACTCATATGTGGGATATAAAGAAACAAAAAGAAGGAGCAGACAAAACTAATTCCCCACCCAACCAAGCAAACACAGAAATATGACTTCACAATTAAGCCTAAATGAGGGGAATAGTGGAAGTGTGGGGAATTAAAAGGCATGGAGTTCCACTGTTCTATGGTGGAGGATTATGGGTGTTTTGGGGGTGGTACGGTAACATCCATCTAAAGAAGTATAAACCATTCTCTCTTCCCCATTTTGTGACCTGTAAAGCTTTGATAGTATTCCAGAAAAATAATTGGAAATTTATGACATCATGTATCTTGTATGATACCCTATTGTAGCAGTCAGCAACTACTGTAATTGACAGCCAGTGTTTGTAGATGACTTAATTGTTAGAGAGCAGTCAGTCTATGTTTTTTCCACTTTTTTCTACCCAGATATTAATTCTGACACAATTTTGGTTTCAGGGAAAAAATGATTTAATGATTAGTATATATGTAAACAATGTTTGTCCTTTGTTAAGGAGTATATCTTGAAAACTAATCTAGTTTGCTTCACAGAATACTCATATTTCAAGAGTTAGTAAGAAAATTTGAATATAAAATAAGAATATTTCTGAAGACATCATTTTATTTGAATGTACTTAATTTATGACTTTGGCTTTTTTTCCTTATTGCATCTATATGTATATTTTCACCTTACAAACTCAAGAAATGTGAAAATCAGATTATATTTCTCTCATCTTTTTGACAAATTTCTCACCATTTTCAACTTTAGTTTCTGAAGCAGAATTTAGTATTTCATATGAAAAGCGAGAGCTCCTGTTGTCTGACTGACCCCAATGTAGACAGTGAAAATATACAAAAAGAGACAAAGACTTTTGTTTTTCATTTATCATTTTTGCATTTGTTTCCATCCCCTTTCATGGATTAATCACTTCAAGGTCAGGCCCATAGTCATTCCTCCTCCTAGCAAAACTTCTTACTGAAGTCAATTAACAAAACAGCTGAGAAAGCAGTAGCTTTACTAATTCTTTCAGTGTTTAATCAGAAGAAAAATCTGCTTTAATTTTAATTCACTTGGTCGGGGGTCAGAATTCAAGTGAATATACCCATCTCTGGCCAGTTTCTGAGTCAATTAACTATTAACTTAAAATAATGAAATTATTAAATCAGGGAAGAATATTAACTAGAAAAATAAGCAAAATTGCTTTGGTACTAAGTTTCATATATGAGAGAAAGTATTCTTCCTGAAGCTTGTTAGAAACAGAGAAATTTCCTTTAAGAGTCTATTATGTACTAGCCCCTGGCAAGACACTTCATAATCTTTCATATAAACTCCCTAATTTTCTCTTAAAGACAAAACTGAGAATCCTGATGAGAGGTTAAGTAGATTAAAACAAACAGACAACATCCTTGATATTAGTTTGTGAAATGCATGTTAATGTATTGTTTACAAATTAGTAAATACTTATAAAATAAATTATACATTCTAGGATTCATATGTCCAAACATCACTTAAGTAAGTCCAAACATCACCTCCTTTTATCAGGCATCTGATGGATAATAAGCCACCCCAATGCTAGAGAATTAAAATATCAACAATTAATCTACCTTACATCCTAATAATTAGCTATTAGGAGAGTTTCAGCTGGTTGCTTTCCCGAAGCTGGGTCACACTTGACTGATAATTAGTTGGTCTCTGCTTGTCAACAGTCAGCTTTAGAATAGCAAATCTCTGCTGATTTAGTGTTGTTGACTGACTGAATCTAGGTGTAGAGGCATTAGGAGATGGGATGGAATTTTACATCATCGAACAAGCTAGCTAAGACTCATTTGCAGGATAGGTTAGCTTATGACCAAAAAAATATGACTATACAAGATATTACAAGGCCTATATTTCCATCAGAAAAATATTGCTTCTGCTACATGGATTGATCCAACAAAATTTCAGCTATACAAAGGGTATAAAAAAGAGGTGCATTAAAATCACAAATAATAAAAGAACATGCATACAAAATTAAAATGTGTAGCCATTTTTGTAATCCATTTGTAGGGTAAGGTAGAAAGTATCAGGCTTTTCTGCCCTCCTGCCGTTAGGATAGATGACGGAACCCTGTGGTCCTGAATGCACGCCTGATGGCGGGCACCTGGAGTAGGCTGTGGGCATATGTAGATGGACCCCTGGTTAAGACTGGACTTTTAAGGGTGGCATCATGGGGATGCCAGCAGAAAAAAAGAAGAAGCAGAATGAGTGGGAGAAGCAGAAGCAGAACCATGAGAGAAGAAGAGAGAAGGCCAGAGAGCCCAGATAGAGTGAAGACTTGCTGGGGGCTGACAGCCTGCCAGCCGTCTGGCCCCCCAGCACCCCTGCCTGCGGTGTGCCTGGTAAATCCCAATAAAAGCCTGCAAAAGCCACTGAGGGTTCCAGGACTCTATCTTCCTTTCTCTGGTCTGCTGGGTTGGATAACCTGCACTGTGCCCATTCCTGCCTTTACACCATTCCATCCCCCTTAAATTTTTTGACAATTTTCAAGATTTATTGTCTTCTGCCCCTTAAATGCCACATCACTCATGACACAACTTATATAATGTCTTTAATACAATTAAAAGCACTATAATATTATAGTATTTTGTATTACTATATTTCATAAGAATGTGTTACACATTATATATAATGTATAATTTAAATATTATTTTTCTCTATATATGAAGATGTGGTATCTATATACAATGGAATATTGCTCAGCTATCAAAACCATAAACTTTTACCATTTGTGACAACATGGATGGACCTGGGGGGAATTGTGCCAAGTGAACTAAGTCTGAAGAAGAAAGACAAATACCAGAAGGTGTCACTCACATGTAGAATATAGAGAAAAAAAATACTGGATCACATAAAACTGAACCAATAGCAAGCTCAAGGAGAAGGGAGAGTAAAGTGGGACGAAGACACAATGTACTATAATGGAAGAATTTTGGCCCCTTGCCATTAGGTGTGGTGTGATAATACACACCTAAAGTGTGTTACCCTATACCTCTAAATAATATACATATGTTGTAAACCACTGTAAAATTAATAATATATAAATATTATTAATCCTGTATCAGCATACAATTATACTCTATTTCATATTAAGGGAATTCAGGTTTTTTTTTTTAAAAAAAAACACTTTAAACTTAAATATTAAATGGCTTAATTTAATAATAACATATTCTCTCATAAGAACAATGTTCTCTGATAAATATTGCTTATTAAAATTTACCAGAGAAATATTGTCTCCTATACTTATTAAACTGTAGGGAGTTACTTCACTGTTACAAAAATGTTTTTTTCATCTTATTAATTTCATATAGGAAACAATTTATACAAATGTTTTTGTCTTTAGTTATTTTGTAATCATCATATGCACTTAAAAAATGAAAAGCAAATTAGTTTCTCCTGATGAGAGAGGTGTTTTTTTTTTTTTACCTTTTAAGAAAAAGTTCAATTTTAATTCATCTTTATATCAGCTTAATAATTTGGTTCTGATATTATGTTATGAACTATAAACAGAATCTTTTTATTAAAGTGCTATCTTATGAACCTGATTTTGTTGTAATATACTATAAATGCTGATAACTTTTCAAGTATTTAATTAAAATTTTAAATGATTGATCTACTGAAAACAAATTAGATCTGATACGTATGTAGCAACAAAGAACTATTTAAAATAATTCTTAAATAGTTATTTTTTCTTTGTTGCTTTTACTGCTCCCATAAATATATTTGTTTAACAACAAATATTCTTGATCATTAGTCACAATCTCTAAAGTCAATAAAAAAAAGCAACAAACTGATAGAACAGACAAATTAGAACAATTCACAGAAAAATAAATGAAGATGTTACAAGTGGCTTAACCTTATGACAAGGATTCAATATATTTCATGTAAATTAAATGATATTTGAAATGTACATTTGCATAATATAACATTTACCAAACAAAGGGTCAAAGACAAACACTAAAACTAACCCTTGAGGGCCTCCCTGGTGGCGCAAGGGGTTAAGACGCAACCTATGAAGCTATTCACAACCACTGCAGCATGAGTTCAATCCCTGCTTGGCCAGGGAGCTACCCACATGGCACAGCAGACCTCTCCTGTCTCACCTGCTGCTCCCCTCAACAGTATGTTTCAATCAGTCTGCCTGTTCTGTTCCCCACTCTGTCTCTGGTGAATTCTCTCACCCTCCCCACCTTTGGCCTACACCCCAGTTCTTGTATGCATAAATAAATAAATCTTTAAAAAGAAAAAAACTAACCCTTTAATACTGACCATAGATCTGATTCATCTAGAGGGGAGCTGAAGATGGAGACATGAGAATTGGGCTGGAGTACAAGGACAATGGGCTATAGTGGAGAACGTGGGTGATTTGGTGGTGAAGTGTTACCATGTGTAGGGTAAGGAAAAATGTCAGGCTTTTCTGCCCTCCCACCATCAGGATGGATGATGGATCCTTGCAGTCCTGAATGCATGCCTGATAGGTAGATGGGATTCACCTGGGCTAAGATTGGGCTTTTAAGGTCCGCGTCACGGGGACGCCAGCAGAAGCCAAGAAGCCAAGAGAGAAGTAAGAGAAGCAGTAGCCAAGAAGAAGCCGAAAGAAGAAGCTGAGAGAAGGCTGGTGTAGGGTAAAGAAAATATCAGGCTTTTCTGCCCTCCCGCCATCAGGATAGATGATGGATCCTTGTCCTGAATGCATGCCTGATGGCAGGCACTTGGAGTAGGGTGTGGGCCTAGGTAGATGGGATTCAGCTGAGCTAAGACTGTGCTTTTTAAGGGCGGCGTCACAGG